AAAGCAATGTCATTTAACTTACAACCAAATATAGACCTATCATTGACCACTACCCATTTATACAGACACATGGTTTCCTCTGCAAATTTCTCAAAGAGGACAGAATCGATGGCCTAAATAGAACACAGGGTCAACATCTCCAGCTACTCTATGATGTTGTCTTGACTTTGTAGTTGGTGAGTGATGTGACTTCCCACCCCAACGATGAAAGGCTGGTGACAGCCACCCACAGGAACAAGGTTCTGGTGTGCACTAGGAGGGAGCATACAATTTGTGGATTAAATGAAATGTCAGTGAACAGTCGACATTAGACAAAATTGTGATACATTCCAGAGGCCAGAAAGAATGAAGGACTTGGGCAATTGGATGGAACGTTTCCCTAAAAATTCACCCCATTCCCATTTGTCCTGGTTGCAAATTGGTCAAATAATCTGAGAATATAGAATAAAAAGTAAGTATACATTGTATACATTACATTGTATACATCCACATTTTCTTGTCATTTACCAATATGTCTTGGAGACTGTAAATAGATCAACTGCCTTCTTCAAAAATTTCTTTAATTATTATTATTATTTTTTGAGAGACAGAGAGACAGAATGTGAGTGGGGAGAGGCAGAGAGAGAGGGAGACATGGAATCTGAAGCTGGCTCTGTGTGCTGTCAGCACAGACCCGGATGTTGGGCTGGGACCCATGAAAGGTGAGATCATGAGCTGTGCTGAAGTCAGACACTTAAATGACTGAGCCATCCAGGTGCCCCCACTGTCTTCTTTTAAACTGTAGTATGGGTCTCCTTTAGGTGGATATTTAGCTTTCTCTACTATAAATAATACTTCAGTGAATATCCTTATTTATGCTTCTTTGTGCACAGGTGCGAACGGTTCTCTAGGATAGAGGCTTGTGAGTAGAATTTCTGGGTGGAACTGTATGAGTATTTACAATATTGACAGATATTGCCAAATTGTCTTTCTAAAAGGATACTGATTTTCATACCCACCATCAGTGTACGTGATAGTACCCATTTTTTTTCTGTGTCCCCAACAACTCTGGATATCATCAATCTTGTTAATTTTTGCCAATATGGTGGATAAAGAAGAATGACTTAGTTATTCTAATTTGTTTTTCCTTGATTGGTAAAAGTTGAGCATTTTTTCTTGTACTAATTGATGATTTGCATTTGTTCTGCGAAGTGTCTATTTTTGTCCATTGTCCATTTTTTTCTATTGTGGCGTTTGTTATTTTGTTGCCTTAGGGTCACTCCTTACATATTTTCTGGGTATA